GCACTTCTAAAGCTTTAATAACACCTGCGTAAAGTAGCACTTCTAAAGCTTTAATAACACCTGTGTAAAGTAGCACTTCTAAAGCTTTAATAACACCTGCGTAAAGTAGCACTTCTAAAGCTTCAAAAAATTCCTGTGTATAGTAGCACTTCTAAAGCTTTAATAATACCTGCATAAGCCACTGAACAGCCATAGACACTTTACAATAATAAAGTCTTGTTTGGTGACTTTTGAGTCCATAAAATCCATGATGTTTCTTGGATGACTGGTACTGAAACAAACCATGGAGTCTGCATAGCGGAGCTATCTAAACAGGTAAAGCAGAGATTTACGGTAGCTTTTTACCAGACTAACTTAAAGGGCATCTTCTTCATTGATGCTTGTCAAATGTGTTAAAAAGCAATTCGGTTTACTGAAGCCACTAGCCAAATAATTACAATTATAATTAAGGACACTCTGGCACACACTTTTATTCATTTTTGAAAGATATAATCGTGACATGATATTATCAAAGGTAATGAAAACAAAAATGTTTCTGATGTCTGTTTGGAGCACGCTGATAAAATTCATCATCTCATCTTTCTCAGTAGAAACTGGCATTCTCCCTTTTATAAATGCATAGAATTACACCGGGATAATTAAATGGGGACTGTTTGTTTATCGCAGCTATGAAAATGTGTTTTGATTTTCAGTAAACAATGGCAAATTATACGTTTGGGCTACAATTGATTGTCTGATGCTGTCGCTGCGTCCAGCTGCCCCCCAGCAAGTCATGTCAGCTAATGCTTCATGTAGTTGTAGTTTAAGGTCAGGTTAACCGAAAAGGCTTGTTTCTGGACACAGACAAATTAACTGGAGCTGAGAGTGTTGTGTGGATGCCAAACATTGTCTCTCAGGGACACCTAAAGGATGGTTATTGTGGAAATAGATTTTCCTCGAAAGTCAACGCCAACCTTGGGTATTGATGTCAACCTCTGGTGCATCTGTTTTGTTTTTTTTTTAGCTATAATTGAATGCAATGGAATATCACTGAAGCCTCGAGTACAATAGTCTGTCATCATTACATCTCACATGGAAAAAAAAACCTTATAGGAGTAGCTTATTACAGGGCTACTCAAATCATGGTCCTCGTGATTTCCCAGCCTTCCTTTACCTGTGAGCCGGTGTGAAGCCTCTGACCAATCAGAATCAGTAATTATTCAACTAACTTAACTGCCTGGAAGAACTGAAAACACGACCTGGATTTGGAATCAAAATCCAGATTTGAAGAACCCTGGTTTATTAAATAAACTCTCCTACAGCAGAGCAGTACCAGATCAGCCTTTTAAACCTTGCCTTTTCGCCCTTTGTTAAGATCTGGTGTCGGCTGGTTACGGCAGCGTATAATTATTTCCATGTCACCAACTTCTTCTGGATGTTTGGCGAGGGCTGCTACCTTCACACGGCCATAGTGCTCACCTACTCTACAGATAAGCTGCGCAAATGGATGTTCATCTGTATCGGCTGGTGTGAGTATGAGGCTGAACGCTGCCCCTAGTGGTAGTGCAGCGTTTTCTTGCTGATATGATCTCATACTAGTCGGAAATGGTGATTGGCTGTTCATGAAAATGATTGCATGCACTTAAATGAACATATTATCCATACATGACCAAAGCACAATATATGTGAAAGGTGTTTGTGTTAAAATTGTTGTGATTATAATTGTAGAGTAATGATAATTCCACGATTTTGATTTTTGTTTCACGTTCAAATATATAGTATGTATACATTTTTTTCTGGCTAACTTTTGCTTAGGAAAATAATGACTCCTTTTGTTGCTTTTAGGCATTCCCTTTCCAATTATTTTTGCCTGGGCCATCGGCAAGCTGTATTATGATAATGAAAAGTGAGTCTTTCTGTCCTTTTGATTCCTTTGATTATCTCCTATCCTTTCGTTGCCTGATATGGCTGAGCCTCTCTGTTCTAAATTGCTTCCTTTTCACTGTGGAACATAGAAATTGGCAGGTTTGACACCCATTAGTTTCATTTCTGTGCACAATCAAATTTCTACTCTAGTCATTAAAAGGTTATTTAATCCCGGGTCATTTTTTGCATGTGAGGTTTTTAAATCACCTTTATTTCACCTTCACAGACAGCACAAACATTTTTTATTGCACAAACAGTGGTTGATTGGTGTTACATAACTAATAGTATATGCTGTACATATTTAATGTCACTTATGTAACACCAATCTATATTCATATATGTACACCTACAATCCTGTACTGGAGAAGTGGTTGGAAGATAAATTACTGTGCAAAAATCTTAGACAGTCAAAGAAAATGACGTTTAATGTTGGTGTAATCTTCGTGTTAGTGATGAACCATGATATTATGTTTCTCAAAGTGTGCTAACTTAGCCTTTTTAAAACCTCTCCTAAAGTTACTCTAGGATTTGCTGCAACCATCCAATACGCCAATGTATTTTTCACGTGTACACTAACCCACCTTATTTGGCTAATAAATGCCTCATTGAGTTATTTAACTAACTAATTAAAATAATTAATCGAGCTGGTGGTGAAATTTAATGAATACGTGGAATGACTGAGGTCCTCCTGAGGACAGGTTTGGAGACCAAAGTGGTGTTCATGTAGCCATGCAACAAGATATAGGTCACTTTTTGGAGAACATTTTTATTTTCCATTTTTATTGTGTTTCTGTTAATTTGCATATGTTCTAATGTCAAATTGTGTTTTTGTGAGCAAATACTACCTAGATAAATAGCCTTAAATCTTTTCTAAGTCTTCTGCACAGTACTGTTTTTCACTATATGGACAAAAGTATAGGGACACACCCCTTAATCACTGAATTCAGGCGTTTCATTCAGACCCATTGCAACAGGTATACAATGGGAACCAGCCACGCAGTCGGGATTACAAACATTTGTAAGAGAATGGGTCGTTATGGAGCAGTGGAAACATGTTCTGTGGAGTGACGAATCGCGCTTCTCTGTCTGGTGGTCTGATCTGGATCTGGTGGCCTGGGTTTGGCAGATGCCTGGAGAACATTACCTACCTGACTGTATTGTGGAGGGGGGGTAATAATATGGGGATGTTTTTCAGGGGCTGGCCTAGTGAAGGGAACTCTTAATGCTTCAACATACCCGGACATTTTGGACAATTTTCTGCGTCCATCTTTGTGGGGACAGTTTGGAGAAGTCCCTCTTCTCTCCCACATGACTGTGCCTCAGTGCTCAAAGCAAGGTCCATAAAGACATGGTTGAGTGAGTTTGGTGTGTAAGAACTTGACTGAGTCCTGACCTCAGCCCCACTGAACACCTTAGGGATGAACTAGAACAGATATTGTGAGCCAGGCCTTCACATCCAACATCAATGCCTGACCTCACAAATGCTCTTCTGGATGAATGGGCAAATATTCCCACAGACACACTCCATAAACTTGTGGAAAGCCTTCCCAGAAGAGGGGCCGCTGTTACATCTGCAAAGGGGGGGCAGCTCCATACTGATGCCTGTGGATTTAGAATGGGACGTCATAAAAGTTCCTGTGGATGTAATGGTCAGGTGTCCCAGTTATTTTGTCCATATAGTGCATGTCATGTATGCTTTTTATATTATTTTATATAATGTATAAATATCTAATAGTATAAATATCTTTTATAATTATCTAATAATGGGTCTACTGTTAGAACCCCTCAAGTTCTCCTTACCTCTTTTTGCTAATATCAGCACTATGTTAAGACACCATCATAGTTTCAGTATTTGAGCCATAAAAAAAGACTCTCCTCTCTGCCGACACCATAATCGCAAATCACGATGAGGAACCCACCCAAAATGGACAGCAGCACGCGCTAAAAAGCACCTGGAACAGCACCATCGCAGGTGGACGCCACTGGCCTGCCTCACTCTTGGAATATCCATTACCCTTTTCCCAGCGTTGCTTTATCTGGTGCTGCTGAATATTTAAATAAACCAAAAGCCGTGCCCGGCCTATATTACACGTGATATCGCATGCTGTCACTGTGTAAATTAGGTCTCTTTAACCCCAATAATTTTTCAGCCCTTGACAAATGCGGTGAATTTCCGTCTCTTCCTGTAATTTCAGGTGCTGGTTCGGAAAGAGGGCAGGTGTTTACACAGACTACATTTACCAAGGTCCAATGATCCTGGTATTGCTGGTGAGATCTTGTGTTTTATGTATAAAGTGTTTTGTGTTAAATGTATAAAGTATGTATACCAAGTATATAAAACCCTGTATTTAATATGTAATCCATCATCAACAGTGTAGTGACACCATCTCTCAAAATTCTTCTAAAATTCAAAATAGTCAGTTACCAAAACGTGATTATTCACANAAAGGCAGGGGGGGGGGGGGGGGGGGGGCGATGACTCTACAAGGCTCCTGCTTAAGGGGCGTGACCAGGACTTAGATTTCAATGATGACAGGACGCTGTGAAAGCGTGACAGGAACTTCCCCGCCGCAGAAGCTTTCAGCATCTGCTAAACAGCAAGCCTTTCTCCCTTATAGCTGAAGAGGTGCATCTGACGGCCACCTGGCATCTACGGGTGAAGGCAAAGCCCCGTGGCACGTGGCAGAAACCGGTAGGGAGGGCAAAGCAAGAACAGATGGCATCCTCCTTTAACAGAGGATGGAATTGTAATGCCTTACACAACTAATGGCACCTGCTAAGGAGCCATGGAGGGGATTTAGCTAGCAGAGGACACGCGCGGCTTTATCAATGGCGGCTTCACGCAGCGTCGAATCACGACGCGGCGTCGGACGTCGGCGCCGTGGCGTCTCCAGTCAGATTCGGTGTAGCCGCAGAGTCACCGTGTGCATGTTTACCCACACCCACCCCCTCTACCCCGTACCGTAGCCACCAGAAGGCGACTGGCTCCGGCAGACTGCATTCACAGATTGTTACCGCCACTGTTTCGCCCTCACAAAGCGCCTTGTTGCTCCGAGTTCATTATTTTATGCAAATGTACTTTATATCGCCGGCGTTTGTGATTGATGAAAGCCTCCCATGCGTCACTCATAGAATCTCAAGTTTGGGAATCACATTTCATCCAGAATTAATGACAAATATATATATATATATATATATATATATATATATATATTTTTTTTTTTTACCTGAGATGTAAAATCCTTTTCCTGGAAAACTATTTTGTAATTATATAGGTAATACAAATTCCAGAATACTGATCTCCTGTATTGTAAGTATTCCTATCACAGGACTTGAAAGCGAGACATATAAAAGGCCAATGTAATTCTAGGCCAGCATCGTATGCGGAGGTATTTAAAAAGAAAAAAGAAAAAGCCGAGTGACCGCCTGCTAATGATTCTGTACCTTCACCTAAAAGCAGGCAAATTGCTTGTCACATTAATATTTATAGTTCTTATTCACAATCCATGGCTGTGCGTGGGAGAGGGTTTTATGACTGTGTTTCTGCAGCCCATGAGCCTCCATTTCTGGATGTTAGCATCCATCAGTTGCGTTTGGGTTCAGACGGGGTGACCAGCCCATGTTAAGGTGAGTCTCACAAGTCATGAAAGAGCTTCAGTGATCCACGGCGCACTGTGACGGGGCAGTTCGAGATGCAAATGGCTGTCGATTTTAGCGCAGTACTGATTTTACTCTTGGTGTTACATACCTGCCTTTGATCATTTCCTTTGTGGCCCACTGAGAGGAACACTGCAAAACAAACCTGGAGATGGAACTGGCTCTTGGCTCAAACACAGGATTAAACACAGCCAGTGTAAACTTAAACTTCCCACGGTGACATTCAGTGGCCATTTTGACAGACCCCAGTAGGCAAAGATTTACTGCATCAGAGTTCTATTTGCACGTTCCGAGTGACGTTATACTCAGCAAACCCATGCACTGCTATTACCAGTTTGCCATAACAAATGGTGACATTCAAACCTGGAACAGACAGTCAATAGGGGTGAAAATGCCCTTTCATTGTATTGCCCATTTTGTTTACTGAGATAATGTCATACAGTCTTGTTTTTATATATCACAAAGTATAGAAAAATTATTTGAATCCAAAAAAAAATCATTGAAACATAAGACATTTGATTTATTAAAACCTAATGAAAATCCACTATGCATTCCAGCTGCAAATGTTATGTATTATGACAAACTTGTATGCTACTGTGCTATATTCAAGCCATTCGTATGCTGTTTTGTGGCTTTGTAGATCAATCACAACACATTTGCATAATCAGTCATACTTAGCAAGTTCACAAAGATATTATCTATCTATTGTCGAATATGTTTATTCATGCTGTCCCCCGGCTGTGCTCTAAGGGTCAGTGATCTGCTTTCACTATGTTTAGCACCAGCAGTATATTTGTCGATTGACAGTATATGTCAGGAGGGACAGGCTCACCCCCGTGCTGACATGCACATTTACGAAACGTGGTGGGTTAATTTCCCAGCTGTAAATAACTGTCCACCCTCAGTTCAATAAGCCAGGCATCTCTTACGGGACTAAGCGACAAGGTGGACTTCCTCTAACCATTGTCTTTTTATCTCTCGAAATCGTAACGCATCTAGAAATAGCAGCTCCTATTGTTTTCATCGGGACGAATGACAAAATAATGTATGAAAAATGACCATCATTGTTTTTGTCTGTGTAATGCTAAGCGCCACATGTTCTGTTCCGCAAATACAACCACAGCTAGAGGTGACTTTATTCAGCAATAGGTCTATTCATCAATCTATTTCTAACCTTAAACCTTTATCCCTTTACCGTTAATCTTCATCCGCTTTCTTATATAATTTGTAGCATGATAAATTGTAAAATGGATCAAAGATCACACGCGAGAACATTTATTTTAGTTGCATAGCATGAGCGTTTAAAAGTGCAATGGCTGGAATCCTCTCTTGTGTCCCCCAAGTTCCCCATGTCCTTGTATTGGATTATTAGTTGGTAGAGGGATGGATGGATGGATGGATGGATATAATGGTGGAAAATATTGTTGGAAACTAAATGCATTAAGTGTCAAATGTATTACAAATATATTGTTGTTGTTTTTTTTTGGCCACCCAGCAGGCAGACCAGAGTGACATTTATATCAAAGATAGCAAAAGTTCACCCACTCAAAATGAGATATTTAAAAGTGCAGCTTCAAGTGGGACAGTAAGCAGTGATATGCAGGTCAGTCTCGGTCAAGCCAAGTCACAGTCTCGGTCAAGCCAAGTCACAGTCTCGGTCAAGCCAAGTCACATATTTCTCTCAAGGTACTTAGGGTAATTAATTCTGACACTTCAAGCAAGCATAATCACAGCCATCTGTGCTGCAACATTAATGTATTATTATTAAGATTTGACACACTCCACAGCCTGAGGAAGCGTATGTGGGGGTGCAGGACCCTGTGCAGGGAAAGGGGTTTAAAAATGGATGGACAGATCGGTGTGAAGAATTAGGATAAGATTAAAATTATACAAAAAACACCTGTTTTTTAAGAGGCACACAAAACCATTTGCTCTATGACAACCAGAAAAACAACAAAATAATGTACATTTTGTATAATAAATCACATGACAGGCTGATCCAGGAGCACATTGACCGGCCATTAACCTCACTAACACTGAATACACAAGTCCTGCTTTATAATATCCATCATTGAATTGCTTTTTTCATCGGCCTATCTTCTTCGTTAATGACATACTTTGCTCCCCATTTGCTTATTGCAACCTAAATATTATATTTATATATCTTTGTGCTAATATATTTAAGTTTAGAAATCTTTACAAAGCATTTGTAATGTACAAATAACATATAATGTGCACTGTGGTGAAATTCATAATCAGTCTGTCCAGTAGGTGGACACATTAGCTCAACGAAACGTATAACTCATTTAGATGAGCACTGTACAGAAACAAGAAGAAACAGAAACTGGATATCAAACAATATAAAGTCATTAAGTGGTTTCACATTTTCCATGCATTTATCTTTGGGTTTTACAACAGCATAAATATATAAATATAGTAGAACTTGTTTCAATTATGTTGTAAATTACAAAGTTATTAAGTTACGAAAAACAAGTCCCTTGTTTATGACATTACATAGGCTGGTTCTCCAGCACCAAAAACTCATGGAGATCTTAGACTTGCTACAGTTTGTCTGCCTGACAGGTATATCGCAGATGCTGTCATGTACCTGCTTAAGAGAGCCTAATCATACCTAGACAAGTCGAGCAGAAACATAAAGATGCTCTTTGACTTCTCGCATGTTTGACACCATCCAGCCTTCCCTATTGTGGAAGAAGATAAAAGCGATGCCGTCTGGGAATGCTGTGGCTGCCTGGGCCACAGATTACCTAACTGACTGGCCACACTTCATCCACATCAGTAGTTGCAAGTTGATTAATCATTCAGTCAATCTTTATTTATAAGGCACTGCTTAAACCACAGGGTTCAGAAGTGCTTTCAGACATTTTAAAAGCAGAAAGAGAAACATATTAAAATAAACACAAAAAAATAAGATGCCACCAGAACTGTGGGGCTTTAACCACCCATGTTCTCCATAAGGGACTCTTGCCCCTGCCTAACAGGGAACTCATCCCTACCTCACCGAGGACTCTTGCCCCTGCCTCACCAGGTACTCTAGCTCCTGCAGTTTTAGACAGTTTTACTAGTCATAGCTGGCATCATGTTCTTCACCGCTAGGGTAACGCCAAGGTGAAGTGGGCTGGTAGGTGAAGCCAACTTTTGAAGGAAGTTTCCTCTGTATTGGGACTCCTTGGAATAAGTGGTGGATGGAAGAATGCTGTCTAAGCTGTACTCTATCTTGAATAATGAGGCCCGTCCTCTCAAAGACCTGGTACGGTTGAGAAGAATAAATAGGAATCTTCTATAACAACCACACCGAGCCCTTAAACTAGAAGTGGACATGTTTTTTGTACACTAAGAGTCTCACTATGCCCTGTTGTGTCTCTCTCTCTGCGGACAGGAGCATCCGCTGCCTGAGGAACATCATTCACTGGAACCTCATCAGCGCCTTCATCTTACGCAACGCGACCTGGTTCATCGTCCAACTCACCATGAACCCAAAGGTCCACGAGAGCAACGTGGTGAGTGTGTCACTCCGGCCCAGATGTGCACAGTGATAATTAAACAAACACAGGGACAGATTTGTTACTTAAATACTGGAAGATGCAGAG